TTTTAATAGACAGCTTAATTGAGGCGCAACGTGCGGACGAAATAGGTCTGATTGTGGTCGACGAATTGCATCTGATAGGCGAAAAGGGACGAGGGGCTACATTGGAAGCTTTGCTTACAAAAATTATGTTCATAGATGGTAACTGCTTCGTCCATAGTGATCACTTTTTTATTGCACTAATTTGTTGTTATTATAGATAAATACATTTTTGAATATAATTTTTAGTAAATATTCAAATCGTCGGTATGAGTGCCACTATCGGAAACCTGGAAGAAGTTTCTAGCTTTTTAAAAGCAGATGTATATACACGCAGCTTTCGACCTGTTGAGTTGAGGGAGTTTATAAAATGTGGCAACGATATTTTGGAGATTAATACAGCAGGCAAAACACTGGATGAAGTGTTTGTTTACAGTCGTAATGTGAATTTCAATGTAGGTTAATAAATTAATTAAATATTTTATATATCTTCAATGTACATATTTATTTTAATTTCTCTTCAAACTCAGTACAGCGAATCTTTATCACGTTCCGACCCGGATCATCTAGCTGGATTGGTAGCAGAATGTGCTCCTGAGCACTGTGTGCTGGTGTTTTGTCCATCGCGGAAAAATTGTGAGAATGTTGCTTTGCTTTTGAGCCGCATTTTACCGAAGTACATTTATGTCAAGCTTATATAAAGCCAACAAATTTATAACTTATTATATTCCGTATAGAAAATTTGTGCAACATCGAAAACGTGAAAAAGAAGATTTAATGGATGCTTTGGATAAGGTATGTGGTGTGCTTGGGGACGTCTTGGCTAAAACTATACCATATGGCATAGCCTATCATCACTCGGGCCTTACCATTGATGAACGGAAGTTTATTGAGACTGCATATCGTTTTGGTGTATTAAGTGTAATTTGTTGCACATCGACTTTGGCGGCGGGTGTTAATCTTCCCGCAAAGCGTGTTATCATACGTGCACCCTATGTGGGTTCGGAATTTATGACTCTTTGTAGATATAAACAAATGGTAGGGCGTGCTGGACGTGCAGGCATGGGTGAGGCCGGTGAAAGTTTTCTAATTACAACAAGTCGAGACAATATTCGTGTTGGCGAAATGCTTTTTTCGCCTATGGATAAAGCAATAACTTCTTTAGATTACGAAGATTGCATAGGTTTACAGGTATGTAACTAAAGGAATTTGCCGAATGTTTATTACGATTAAGACTAGCTAACTTATTTCATGTTAAAAACACTAAATTATCTTTTAATTTTATTTGCAGAGTCTGGTTCTAAGTGCAATCGGTTTAGAAATTGCTAACTGCCGCACAGACTTATATCGTCTTGTAGGTTGCACTTTGCTTTCTGTACAAGCCAATCAACTAGGACTTTCGACAGAACAAATGGTTCTTAAACTTATTCGTGAAATGTTTAAACACAAAGTATTGGAATTGTGTGCTTCGGTGGCATCCAAAAAGGACATCCCAGACATACTTACAACACAAGACGTTCAAAATGTAAGCAGTCGAACATCTCATGAGCATCGCCGTCTTTTCATAAGCAAATCGACACGCTTTCAGCTTACAAATATTGGTCGTGCCGCTTTTAAGGCAGGTATTGATTATAAACACGCCTTCGCAATACACGCGGAGCTGAAACTCGCGCAAAAACAACTAATATTAACGAACTATGCACATCTACTGTATCTAGTAGTGAGTTTCAATTCGAATGCAAAAGGTGATGAGTTATTTCCAGCGGAAGCTGGTATACTTTATCGGGTATATATGTCATTAGATGATACTACGCAAGCCCTCTTCAAACTTCTCGGCTTCACCGAAGCGGTTGCAGTGAAAATGGCAAAGACGATGTCCGTTCAAGGACCACTGGAACTAAAATTGAATCGTCTCTACAAAGTGTTGGTTTTGATCGACATTTTAAATGTACTACCTTTGCATGTAGTAGCGTCAAGATATAAAGTAGAACGAGGAATGTTACAGACGCTCATAAATCAATCAACTGCAGCGGCCAGTGCAATAGTGCGGCTCTGTGAGCAATTGGATGCCTTTTGGTGTTTTAAATCACTGTTTGAGCGGATAAGTGCGAAATTGGATCGGTGTGGTACAATGGAGTTAGAACCATTACTTGATTTGCCGGCCGTAAAAATAGTATATTCAATGATGATATAATAAACAAATTGGTATCAGAAAAAATGACTGTCTTTCTTTCAGAATCGTGCCAAACAACTTTACAGTGCGGGCTTCAAGACTATTGAAGACATAGCTAAATGTAAACCAATTGATTTAGTGCGTTTGGTGGAGCATATGCCAATGAAAATTTCGAAGGAAATTATCTCGGCTGCAAAGGTAAGTTTCTGATAAAGTAGTAAAACGTGTACATATCTTTATATAGTGTACGTATGTATTAGGGATCCCGGCCTTTTTTAGGTCACGAAAATTTCGGGATTTGTAATTTGCACTGATGGGAATAATAGAAACACCTTTTCTGGACCAGTATTGGTTATATCTCTTTTTTTTTAAATTAATATTTAATAATTAATATTTTTTTTATAAAAGTTTAGCTCATTTTACATATAACACCGTGCGATAGTAAATTTTACACACAAAAACCAAATATATTCGCGAAACCATGGGCTAAATATAGTAAAATTGACGTTTTTAGTTGTTTCACTCTCACGACAGAAATTCGAAAATGCTTTAACAAATCCAGTGAAATGTGCTTAGAGAAAAAATATGGGTATCAAATTAAAGAGAAAACTCTGTAGAATTTAATCAGATTCAATATTTTGTTGCATAAGGACTGGTAAGTATTGAAAATGTCCTTTTCAAAATTTGATCCTTTAAATTTGCAATATTTGTTTTTGAAAAAAATTATATGTTAAGGCCTTATGTAAACTCGATAACGTTCTCGAGTTTCGTCCTTCTAACTTTATCAGTTTAAAAAATTACCTATTCGTCCGTGTGAATCCAAAAAATTAAATTTTTGTAAGTTCTAAAGAAAATTTCTCTTTCATTTGGTACCCATATTTTTATTCTAAATTGCATTGAATTTTTGAAATAATTTTTGGAATTAATCCACTTTAAGTAAAGAAGTAGGTTTCAAACCCATTTATTTATTATTTATTTTATGGTAGGAGAGATAGAAGCAATTTTTTGGATTTAAGTTGTTGAAAATAATGAATATCTACATCTCGGGACCTATCCTGGGATTCCGGGAACTATTCCAGGATTCCGGGATTGTGATAACGACATACCGAAAATTCCCTACCTACCCTGTTGATTCGGCTACCTAACCCCGTTTGGGTCGGCGAAGTCTCTCCCAAATCGCCGCATCGTCGCATCGTGTGATTACTAACAGCATCGTCGATTTCAGTGTTACGTGAGGAACTTCGGGTGCGCTTGAGGATTTTTATTTTGAGGAATTTTTGACGAATTTTCTATCGATATATTTGAAATAAACAAATGTTACTATGTTTTACACAGCAGAGTTGTTATAAAGAGCGAAATACACCACACAAGCGGCTTGTCAAACATTCTTCAAACCCACTTTTCCCATTTCGCCATACACCATGCAAACATGACTCGTTCAAGCAAAGAATTCGTGTCACGTAGTGCTTCTGTGGCAGAATAACCGGGCGTCTGGCTGTTATCGGCAGGCAATAAGCAGCATGAATTCTTCCGTTTACCTTCAGCAAACCATCGACGTCTATAAAAGGCGTTAGCTGATATAGAGAGCTCGACTTCGACAGGCAACCCTTGTGCTTAAGTGAGATTTTGACCAGTTTTGGTTATTTTTCTATTGTTGCTTAATGTTTATATTTTTTTTTATAAAAGTCTATCACATTACATAATCAGCGTGTTGATTTTTAATATTTTTTTTTTGTTGGCTGCGCTTGGTATTTTCGTCCATATAAAAGTAATCGGCTATAAAACATCATATCTAAAAATTTTACAAATTTTGTACGAAGATTGAAATGTGGATTTATGTGGTGCTAAACTTTTATACAGCAATTATAAACATTAAATAGACAAACGAAAAATAGCCAAAACTGTTCAAAATGTCACTTAACTTAATCAGCTAACCACAAGGGTATATTGGGCCACAGTGTTCTTCGTATATTAAATCGTCGCTCGAATAAAGAAACAGTGTAAATGCCACATACACTCTTATTCGATAATTGCACCATTGAATAGACCATTCTTTAATCTATTAGAAAAATCTTTAGTTTTCTTAAATATCTCTTTGGCTCACTAATTTATTCCCGAAAAATGAAATGGTATTTGTATGGTTTGTAATGGTTTATAAAAACTTCCAATTCGTTTTTCTCAAAACTATACTTTTCATGTTACACTATTTCATTATTCCAGCGACGAAATATTGAATATGTTTACAAATCTACATCTACATATATAAGTGTTTATCAAATGAAGTTGTGATGGCTCTACACGACAAAGTGAACACAAACAAATTTTAATATGCTTTCAAATTTCAAAAATAAACTATAATAACAATTTGACTTGAATTACCCATTGAAATGAATGATTTATACAAACTACTTTACGCAGTTTTGACCGTTACCGTTACGCGAACAAAGTTATATTACCATTGCTAGCAGGTATAAAAATAGCACACCTTACGGTTCTCTTCCTCTTAAGTTTGGTACTTTTTTATCTTGAAAATGCACTTCAAAGCAAAAAAAAGGCAGCGGCGGACTCGGTGCCACATAGGGGTTTTTTACTTCTTCAAGAGATATACTAGTCTTGTTTGCTTTAGAACGCAGCAGATTTAATGATGTGACAAAATATGTATGTATGTATCTATTAATGTTATTTTTGTGCTTTTAATTTCACAGATTATACTAATGAAGAAGTTGGACTACCTAGAGGAAGAGGCAGAAGCATTGAAAATGTGTCTGACATAGGATTATCTGTGAATAACTTTATCATTAAAAAGCATTTATGAAAAAATTGCTTTTAAATTATGAAACAATTGATGGTCTTATACATAGATATCATTATTTTTATTTATTGCTTTTTAATACATTTCGCCTTTTCATCAGCGCAATGCGTGTACATACATATATGTTAACATTAGTTTCTTATTGTTAAAATTTCACCATGTAATTTAGAAATTCTCAACATAGAATATTAATTTTAAAATAATTAGTGTACACAAGGCAATGCTTGTAATTTGTAACTCTCGGAATGTAGTATTTTAAGCTTAAAATACGTTTAAAATAGCGTTTTCCAATGTGTTATAATTGTACAAAATAATTTACAAAGTATACATTACGTAATAAGATAATCCGGAAAACAAAACTAGTCGAAATCGCTAGGAAACCATACAACTTTGAATGGATTTACTGGGTACCATAATAGTCAAGGCGAATTCATATATAATTTATAAATTCGCCTTGATAGTAATAATAAAAATAAAAATTAAAGAAACTGTATACACAAAAAATCATTTTATTTAATGACAAAATTAAAAGAATTCTGTCTTTTGTCTTTTGCTATCACGAAAATTGAGTATTTCAATATTATAAACTTTTAGCTTAACTTTCTGATATTTTAAACTAAAACTTAACATTGCACACATACTTTACTTCTTGTCCAATCTGCAAGCTCCACTTTACTTTCCTTTAATTTCTTATCTATGTTTTACTTTTTGAATAATGCCGTGAATGTAGTGTTTTCTTTAATACACAATTTCTGGAACTATCTCCTGATGTGTTCGGATGTGAAATATACATACATGCCTGTTGTTATCAAGCGGACCTGCGTGTGCTGTGTGTTTGTGTGTGTGCTGCTGGGAAGTGTGGCTGTTTTCAAATACACCTATTTACATTTTACAGAGACCTTGAATGGGAATGAAAAGTAACTTTCATATACTTCATGATTTTAATTTTGAGAACAGACATTAATTTGAATCGGATCCATGGATGAAATAAACAATGTGGGGAAATGTTCTTCAGAGCTTAGGTATTATTTGATGATGCACAAAAATTTAGAGAATGATTTGAAATGGATAATTTTTGAAAACAAAAATATATATATATTTATGTACATACATACATATCCGGGATATTGCGAATATTTGCATTCGCATTCATTATGCGAATGATTCGCATCATTTTACGCATTCGCGTTCGACATTCGCATTCGCATCAAATGGTACGAATGTTTTGCGAATGCGAATGTGTACATGACCAGGAAGTCCACTCTAATAATGCGGAAAGGGCTCTAAGTCTGTCTAAACAGGGTGCGGACAATAACCGGCATTTAGCTCCAGGCGCTAAACGGTTAAGTAGTATATCAAGCAACATTGATGGGCCTTCAACAAGTACTGCTAAAAGTCTTATAAGCAACCTGGAAATAACTTTTGATTCCTCCAGCGAAAGCAAAGGCTCGGATGTAGAATCTGGTGACATTAAAAAATGTGGAATTTAAGCTCAATTGAAGGCATATCTTAAAGAAAAAGGAGCTCATCTCGGTGAAAATCCTCTCATTTGTTCGTTTGTAATTTATAAGCAAATCATGCTGAAACCAAGTAATTAAATTGAAATGAAATAATTTATCATAAATCGAGAACCAAATGAAGAAAAAAAAGATTTATTCATTCATTTTAGCCCCCACTGTTGAGGAAATTTGAATAAATGCCTAAAGGTATGCATCCATTTGTTTTTTGAAATCAAGTACAAGGGCTTGTTCGAGATGCAATCACAACCGCAGTGTTGCATGCATTATTAAAGTATCACGTTCGGAGTGAATTTCTAGCAGCTTTTTATCAGTTCGAAAGTTGCAACAGTTTGCAAATTTTCATCAGTGCTGCAGTATTGCCGCTTTCATTATGTGACTCGAACAGGTCCCAAACCACACACTCGTATAGAAATTACGAAAGAAACGTGAACGTACTTGGTTCATGTGAAGTAATTTGATCGAAACAAAGTATTTTATGCTATAGTGTGAACACTGTTTAAAATACGACAAATTAACAGATCTGGCCCGGAAATATTTGAGCGCTCCACCCGCCAGCGTTCCAAGTAAGCGATTGTTCGGTGCAGCCGGCTTTATATCCGAGCCTCTAAGAAATCACCTCATGGGAGAAAAGGCAGCAAAACTACCTTTTTTTTTTTAAATATATAGCCTCATTGCAAGAGTCCAAGTCGTTTTTCGCAAGTCGAATCGTATCGAAAATTTAACGTCATTGCTTAAAATTTCCACTCGACTAGTGTATTAAAACGGAAAAACTTGGCTGCACTGCATAGTTTTCGATGTTTTTCGTCGTTTACTTATTTCAGCACGACAGTAGACAATGCTAATGTCGAGTCGAACAATTCAGCCTTATTTACGACTTACGCAATGAGGCTGATAATATGCCCCTTTTGAAATTTATCTATCGATGTTCTAATAATTTACCAAATATTTAAGTAATAAATACGATGACTTAAGTTGATTGTAGCCTTTGTAATGTTATTCCTAACTTTCTCATTCGCATTCCGAAACATTTAAGGAGACTGTATTGTTTCGGTTTTTCATAGGCAAGGTAATGCGCCACACAATGATAACGCTTCGCGAAATCATTTCGAGCTTTAAGAATCGCAATTTTGTAGCTTTTCATTACTGCTGGCAGTTAGGGTATGGTTATTTCTGCGATTTTTTATGTATGTATGTATGTATGTACGTAAGTGAATGGCGCAATCAGGTAACACGAAATTAGTAATGAATAAATAGTTCATGAAAGCAAGAGAACGTATTTGTAAACCTAAGAATGCTCAGAAGACATACATATGTACATATGAACACAAAAATTTATATATGTAAGTACGAATGTAGATACATATGCATTTAGTCGGGTATGAATGAATACATTTGCTATGAAAAAACGTTTGACCTTTAGTCTAACCTTTAGTATTCCAAATCATCATAGAAATGCTGGGCTATTCTCATACCGACGCCCCTGTAGTCCGTTCGACTGGAATACGGTTGTGGCGCTGCAACGACCGCGCGCCGTCGGATATCTGTTGGTGAAAAATATGAATCATCACTATTGTAGTCTTTATAAGAGCTTTGTTGTTGTTGCTGTTGTGATTGTGGTTGTTGTTGCTGTCTTGTTTGTTGTGCGAGTAAATGTTCGGTTTGATGGTGCATTTGAGATTGCAATGATTTTGATGTTTGATGTGATTCAAAATGAGTTTGGGATTGACTAAGCGAGGTTTGCGGTTTAGTTTGATAGGAATTTTGCTGATGCTTATTTTGATGTTGCTGTTGTTGGTATTGATTGTTGTTATTGTGAAAAAGTTTTGGTGACTTATTGTTATTGACAAATGTACTGACGCCCGGATCTGAAGCATATGCATTCTCGAAAGCGCTATTGTGATTTGGATGATTGCTGTGATGCGGCGTAAGCGGTTTAAGCGTCGGGTTGAGTGCGTCGTTTAATGTGACGTCATAGTCGTTTTCGTAGAGCTCGTCCAAAGTGATTTTGGGTTGTGGTTCTGGCCGAGCCTGTAACATTGGTAATGCACTTCGCGGTGGCAAGGTGGTGCGATGGATCTGTGCTGTTTGCAATTCACTTTCCCTTTCCCGGTCATAGACATTTGAGTCATGTAGATATGAATGAACTGATGTGGGGGCTGAACCGCTGCCAGAATCACGCAATATCGGTGCACCATGCTCGAGGAGGCGCACACCTGATATTGTGGATCCCATGTCGAGGGGAGTGCTGTCCGTTGTGTGTGTGCTGAGTGGTTTAAGAGCCACACCAACCGGTTGTAGGCCACGTGGTAGATAGGGACTGCCACCGCGAGAAGGCAAGAATGGTCGCTTGACAACACGTACCGTTGCTGTGCGTCCTGAATGTGCGTGGACAGAGCCCCTGCTTAGTGCGGCGGGTACCGATGGTTCTTCCCCCACTTCCTCTGGCTCTACATCTTCCTCATCCTCGTGTGGACCGGCCGTTGTTGATGTCGTCGTAGTTGAGGATTGCCGCGAACGGGTGTTGATTTTTGCCCTAGGGCGATTGGCGTTAGGGCGACTCAGTGGTTGGGGTTCAGGTTCTTGTTCATATACATCTTCTTCTATTGGGCGACGCGGCTTCTTGGTTCCCTTACGAGCTGCCACTTTTGGCCGCAGCCTATGAACCGGACGCAGTGGTCGCTCTTCGTAGTCATCATCCACAAAGTCTACATCGTCAGTACCGCGGCCAACGGGGGGACCAAAAGAGCCACGGTTGCGAGTGGTGAAAGGTCGTCGACGGCTGCTAGTGTGACTATCCACAGGCTCATCAGATATCCCACTGCTACTATCATAATCATCCTCTTCTGCGATTGCCACATGCTTCTTCTCAGTTGTTGGGCGACGAATGGTTGTTCGTGAAGGTTTCTTGATTAAAGGCGTGTCATTTTGATTACGCCTTCTCGAGCTAGGTACTTCTTCTTCGTCATCAAACTTACTTTCGACAACACGCCTTCGTGGGTGGGCGCGTTGTGAATGCATATCATCGTAGGCCTCATCTTCATAGTAATCGGCATCAACCGCATGCGTAATTTCAGGCCTGGTTGTGGTGCCTGTTTTCTGTACAGGATACTGGAACTTCTTCTTCTCGTTAAGTGGAACAGGGCGTGCAATTCGTGGGGGTGCACGTGGACGTGCGTAAACGGAGCCACTACCGGCCTTGGGCGTTATAAATTCCTCTAATGGCTTGGGCGTAGTCTTAACTTTAGGAGGCGCTTCTTCCTCAGCAGCCTCCTCTTGATCTGGTGCATGCACTTGGGGTTTTTCGTATTCATCTATTTCATCAACACCGGATGGGGATGGTCGTTTTTCATTAATGCGACGTCTTCCAGTAAGACGACGTGGAGGTGAATCTGAAGCTTCGATTGAATCTGAAGACGGAGTAATACGCGCTTTGTCTTTTCGACCCGACTGGGCGCGATCATCGTTGAAACTGCGACGCTCATCACCACCTAAACGTCCAGCAGTCGGAGTAGTTTTACGACTTCCACTCTTGCGCCGGTCAGCCGGTTTGTGCCGTGTATTAGGTCGGTCATATTTGCGCCGATCAGAATCATACTCATCTTCTAGTTCCTCATCATCACGGAAACGATCACGGGGATTGTGACGCCTATTAAAGAATAAGGATAAACGGTTTTCTATACACCATGCAACAGATGTCATCCAGCTTAGTTGTGTTATAACTTAATTTACCTTGGCTTATCGTCGCTGTAGTCTTCTTCATACTCAGGTGCTGGTTTTCGTTGCCGTGGTCTGGGTTTGCGACGACGATTCAAGCGCTCTTCATAGTAATCATCTTCATAAGCAGCTACTGTTTCTTCCTCATCATCATAGTAATAATCATCTATCGGCCGACGATTTATCGGACGCCGCAATGGTCTCAACGGTCTTACCAGCCGTCTGCGTGGAGTTGGTGGTGGTTCTGTAGTGGTTGTAGACGTCGTTGTTGTTGTCGTAGCCATATAAAGATCATCATTTCTGAAAAACTCGGCCGAATTAATCATATAAAATGAGTTTGTAAAGTTTTTAAATACCTGTTCCAATAATTTTTTGAACCCTCGCAATCGACATCGGAAACGAAGTGACAAATAAAAGTTCGCTGATCGAATGCCGTAAAATTGGCACAGAGGAAATCGTGTCGGATGCCATAGACACAGTGATGATATACCTACAATGTTTGTAGATAGTTTAATAACAGTACAATCAAACCTAGGTTGGAACTAAATATCTACATATATAGTACATTTACGCCGCCGTGCCCTGCCGCCGTACCGTTATTTGTCATTTACGCGGCGGCGTTCAGCGTTCGACGTCTAAGGAATTATGTACAAAATTCCATATATATATATATATACCTATGTACGTACATTGAAATATATCTCTTGAAGGAACTACTATAAATAACGTTATAAAACAAAAAAATACTTCTTTAAATTAGTTTTTAACCGACTTCCAAAAAAGGAGGAGGTTATCAGTTCATCGGAATATTATTTTTTTTTTGTTTTTTTTTATGTATGTTACCGCATAACTTTGGACCACGTCAACCGATTTCGATAACTCTTTTTGCATCGGAAAGGTGGTGTCTCAGAGGTGGCTCCATACTAATCTGGTTAAGATCCGATCAGTGGATCATGAGATATATATATATATATTTTTTTTTATATGGGAGTTGAAGTCGGTTTTTTTTTGCTAAAAATTACTTGTTTTTCAACTAATTTGCGCAACTTAAAAAGGAAATATAGGAAACACGTTTTTCGATCAGAGCTGCTGCCATTTCGAAAAAAGGGTTGCCTAAATCAGCGAGAAGGAAGGTTGTAAGCATGTACCGAAACAAAAAGATTATTCAGTCAAAAATTGGTGGGTAGGCACTGTGGCCAATGGCAATAAACTCCGGACGAGTTTTCCGGAGGATGCATCAAGCTTTGCTGAGCATGATTGCAGGTGCCACCAACTTATTACTTTAATACGTTCTGTTTATTTGACACTTGCTAAGTGCATATGCCAAACATTGCTTTATTGACTATTACTCTCCACTTTCTTTGTTTTTATGTGTCGAAATTCTATACCGAATAAAATATACACCTACTTTTACATTCTGAAATCAAAAAATATTTAGAGGTCGCTGAAAGCGCTCAAAATTTTTCAAAAAACACATTTCGTAGAAATGGTAGAGAATTTTTGAAAATCAATATTTTTCGATCGGAAAACTGATTTTCTTCAGGAGATTCCCAGTAATAATACCCAATTATTTATTTAACCATTTTTTCATAGGTCCGTCAAAACCCCCAGAAAATGCAATTGGGGTATAAATCTTTAGTATAAAAAATGGCTAAATAAACAATTGGGTATTGTTATTGGAAGTCTCCTCAAGAGACCCAGAGTTTTCCAATCGAAAAATATAGATTTTCAAGAACTCCATACCGTTTCTACGAAAAGTGGTTTTTCCCCATATAAATTACATGGAAAACTTTGAGCTAGGAATGTTAATCCCGGCATCCCGGCCTTCATTAGGTCCCAAAAATCCCGGGATTCTTGGCTTGTAATACCGGGATTTTCTGGATTTGTAATTTGCACTGATGGTAATAATAGAAACTCCTTTTCTGTGTAGCTCATTATACATATAACACTGTGCGGTAGTAAATTTTACACAAACAAAACAATATACACACATATTCGCCAAACCATGGGCCAAATATAGTAAAATTGCTTTTTTAGTTTTTCACTCTGACGTCAGTAATCCAAAAATCTAGTGAAATGTGCTTAGAAAAGAAGTATGGGTATCAAACTAAAGAGGAAATTTTGTAGAATTTCATCAGATTCAAGTTTTTGGTTCATAAGGACAAGTAAGTATTGAAAATGTCCTTTTAAAATTGTATTCTTGAAATTTCGAATTATTTGATTTTGAAAAAATTATATGTTAAGGACTTATACAAACTGGATAACATCCTCGAATTTTGTCCCTCTAACTTTATCAGCTTAAAAAATTACCTATTCGTCCTTATGAATCCAAAAAATTTCAATTTTTCAAATTCTAAAGAAATTTGTTCTTTCATTTGGTACTCATATTATTCTACATTGCATTGAATTTTTGAAATAATTTTTGGAATTAATCATAACTTTGAAATAAAAAAGATCCTTTAAACAAAATCCTGACGTCAGAGAGAAAAAATAAAAACGCCACTTTAAATAAAAAAGTACGTTCCAAACCCATTTACATATTTATTATTTATTTTATGGTAGGAGAGATAGAAGCAATTTTTTCGAGTTAAGTTGTTGAATCATCACGGATCACGGGATTGTGATAACCACATCTCGAAAATCCTGGGATCGTAAAAAGCGGAAAAATGAACATCCCTACATTGAGTACTTTGAGCGACCTCTAAAAATTTTTTGATTAAAAAAAGGGATATATTTTTTTGATATAGAACAATACAAGGGGGTGAGAGCATTAAAATTCCGACTTTACTTATTTTGGATCACTCTAATATACAAACATACAAGTTTTCCCTAAAATATACCAAAATGGATAAAATGCAGCTAGCTGCTAGTCTTGTTCGAATTGAGTAAGGTGATTGTTTAAATGCAAAATGGATCACTTTAAGCGTACATTTTTAGTTTTATTATTTAATTTTTTTGGAACAAGGAGATAATTCATATGTAAAAAAAAAAACAAATCGAGAACAATGTACCAACGGCAAATAAATTAGCAAATGACCACCTGTGATACCTATGGAAGTGATCAGCAATTTTGATGCTAGTAAGTTTTTGCAAATTTTGCGTTCTCATCATTCTGTGGTTATTTTTTCTATGAGAACGAAAGCTGCTAAATTCTAGTAATTTTTGCAGCTAGATAAATTTGAATGGAGAATGCATCGCACCCGCAGTGTGTGCCATTTTGAAAAAAGGACAAAATCAAATATCTCGAGAACGAGAAGAGATAGCGAAATAAATTTTACGATATTTCAAAGCTTTTGAGATGGAAAATTGCCTTGATCAAAAATATAAAATTAAAAGTGTTTTCTTTTTTTGACCTAAAACCAGTATGCAATGAACTTTTAAAAATTTCTAAATGTGCATATATTTTTGCTGCTTTTGTATCAAGGAATGCAGTTTCATGGTCGCAAAAACAAAAAAAAACACATCTACATTTTTTTTCTAAGGTTCACTGCATGTTAGATCGAAAACAGAAAAAAATCAAAAATTTTACTTTTGGCTGTCGGTTTTGAGGTCAAAGGTAATTTTTCATTCAGATGTACCTTTGAAAGTAAAATGACCTCAAAAAGTAAAAATTTTGAATTTTTGTATTTTTTGAAATTAACTTTTTAGCAAGTTATTTTTAAGCAAAAAACAACCGACTTCCGTTCTCATATAAAAATTTAGGAGTATTGTTAATTTCTTCATGATGCAATGATCGGATCTAAACCAAATTAGTATGAGACCATCCTTGAGGTACCACATTTGCGATAAAAAATATTATCGAAATCGGTTCACTTGGTCCAAAGGTTTCATAAATACACGAAAAAATATTGCGGCGAATTGATAGCCTCCTCCTTTTTTGAAGTCGTTTAAAAAAAATTTAAAATTCGCTTCTCGGTTCTTGTGACCATGGAAATGAATTTATTGCCGCAAGAACAGCAATAAATAATAAATAATAGAACAGCATAAAATAAAAAGTTCATTGTATACTGGTTTCAAGTAAAAAAAAATAAAAAAATTGGAAACCTAATATATTTGGGGTTTATTTTAAAGGTCAAAGCAATTCTCTTATCCAAGAGACAATTTTTCCTCATTCCCCATATTAAAATCTTTAAAAAATCATTACATTTATTTCGCTATCTCTTCTAGTTCTCGAGATAATTGATTTCGTCCAGCAGCCGCCTCAAATCTTATTATCGACGTACACTTCTAATATATAGTAGTACCAAATCCGAAGTGATTGCTTAACTGCATACGTATGTGTACATCTATACATATCTATGTATATACAAAAGCAATATACCCAGTGGGAATTAGGAGCACGTAATAATGCCTTATTAGCAACTTACTCTTCACCTGGCAGTCATTACCATTTCCCTGCCGAACGTACCTTACTTTTACAAAGGCATGGCCGCCTTATGTAAGTAGGAATTTAGAATGTACATTTGGTATCAGACATACTTCTGAGCCGCTTTAGGGTCTGATTATGCATACTTCGCATAACTTCGCACAACCATTTGTACCAGTGCAATAAAAATGTAACTTAAGAAAACGTGAAGCAAAATCTAAACTCAACAGATACCTAAGTTTTTAAAAGTTCTGCTAATTTCTGGGTAATGGAATACATACAAATTAGGCACAAAGTACATACGAAATTACAGTTTGAAGTTTATGCGAAGTTGTGCGAAGTTATGCGAAGTATGCATAATCAGACCATTACAAAGTAAGTTACGTGTAATGCAGAGCAGTCGCTCGGAGTAGTTCGGTGCTTGGAAATAACTTCGGCTGCACGTTATTTTGCAACTGACAACGTAATGTGTCTTCGGAGGTGTTCATTTTGCCCTTTACTAGTAGATGACATTGGCCATGATGACAATTTTGGTACTAAAAACTGAAAGAAAACATGGCTTACCTCGGAAGGTGCTTACCTATTTTCCCAGTGGGTACGTACTTAAACTACATACATACATATTTGCAAAATATTTAGTATTGAAAATGGCCTCTGTTGCAAAGAGGAGCAGCCTTCAAACAAAAAAAAACTGGGATCTCCTTGGCGGGCGATAAGTGAATATTAAAAGAAACAACGTTTTTACATACATTTTAGCTAATACTAATGGGTCGATTCAAGATGGCAACCGAACATCCGTTGCGGTGCAAGCGACTGAAATTGTATTACAGATGGCAACTGTAAGCTAACAAATGAGTTACTATGTATATTGACAACCGCATTTTTGTGGTTGCCGAGGAAATTTTGATTGAGAAAAATTATTTCTTGTATCTCCAAATTTTTTAAAATGAAGCCTTGGTTGCTGATAGATACCATCAAGGCATATTTAATTAGGTAGAATAGACAACTAGCTCGAGCTCTCTTGCAGCTAGTTACAATGTCAAAAAACTGTAAACAAAGAAATTAACCTTTTGAGGTGCGAGTCCTATGTTTGCTGCGAATTAGAATCAATTGAAACGCATCAGCATAAATACAGTGAAACCTCTCCTAACGGACACCTCTATTAGACGGACATCTCCCTTGGGCGGACATTTTTTCCTATACCAAGTTTTAAGTATAAATTTCGGAACAAATTACTCTCTCTTAAGCGGACACTCTCTTGGCCGGACGCGGACAGTTATTTTGCATAAAATTTACACAAAAAACTCTATTGAGCGGACGCGAACCTCTTATCAACGGACATTAAGATTTCTTTTCATAACAAATCAAACAAAAACCTCCATTGAGCGGACGCGAACTCCTCATAGGCGGACTACTAAATGGAAAAATGGGACTTCCCGCATAAAATGTGATTGTTATGCACACATTTAGTTTGGTTTGCGCAGTGGTTTAGGTTCGTTATTTGAATTACCAGAAACCCTTGCAGAATCCAATTCCAATTCTGATGAATTTATAACAATAGATAATAATAAATACATGGACCGAAAATTTAGATTTCTGGTTGGATTTTGTTACTGATAAAAACATGAAAACTATTGATGAAAAAGGTACTGACACTGAAAAAAATTAAAAATTAAACTTACGTCAATCGACGATTTCACAATTTTTTATGTAATGAATCTATGGTTTTATGTAGTTTATGGACTGAAATGTAATACTTATTTTTATTTTGTTATTACTTAATATGTACTTAGCACATAAATGAAGTATGCACTTTTGAAAAAAGACATGCACATTTTTGTTTGAACGATGCAATATCAATATCTTTTATTCAAATAAGAAATAGTGACTATTCAATTTATTAAAACATTAAAAAGTACTAAAATAAGCTTCCCTTCCATTGAGCGGACACCTCTCTTGGGCGGACAAAAAATTACTGACGGTGAGTGTCCGCCCAAGGGAGGTTTCACTGTACATACATAGCAAATGTAGCCCTATGGACGCACAACTTCTGAGATACTTCGCTGACCTAAACGGGGTTTCGGCGATCTAACCCCGTTGAATCTGGTCATAAGTCGTATGAATTTTCATATAAAAGTAGCACCAACTCTATGAAGAAATGAGTGAAAGCAATTGATAGTTTCTAATTATTATTATTATTTTTTTGGAATCGTTCTTTAAAAAGGACGAGAACTGGTTGAAGTGCCGAGGGGCAACCGCTATATTGACTTTGCTCGGAAACTGGGCTTTAATCCAGGCCCAGTGCGGACTTCTATATATATTGCTAGTAAATTCAAAATTTTTATGTACACTGGAGCATATATACCATGATAAAAACCATCGTACAGTTCCATAAGTAAAGTAACTCTTCTTACAGTTTTTTTCTGGCAGGCTGTAGGTGTGCTTTTGGTTAGTGTGTTAGTGTATTTTGAATAAATTGTAATAGAAATAAAAGAAATTGTAATAGAAAGGAAAGAAATTGTAAAAGATAAGAGCACATGCCAAAAAACAGGTGACCTCAACTGTAAGAATTTTTTGGCAATCAGCTGATAATGTTTTTACTTATGAAACTGTACGATAATAAAAACATTACAAGGTAAATTCTTTCTCCCAATTCGTCGGCCATGATTTTGTCTGACGTTTGCAAGCATTTTAAAATCATATAAAATTATAAATAAAAAAATGAAATTGCACATAATTGTTGTTGTTTCAGATTGAAACTGAGAATGTGTGTGTGAGTTTGAGTTTGAAATTATATTGCTGACAAATGTCAGACTTCCTCTCAATGGTTTTACCCAAGGCATGTTTAATAAAGTAGAGCTCTCTTGTAGCTAGTTAATCATGATACAAAAGAGAAGGTAGTTCCATTGTCACTTTTTCCTCGCCGTATTAACAACCTGACAATTAAGCGGATTGTGACGTTTCGTGCTCCCATACCCAATATCTAAAATCCTTCAAATTTTATTATTAACTTTCTGTTTATTTAAAAACATTTTGTTCTTAGAATCGAAATTTGAACAAGCAAAAGGTATTTGGATTTGCGTTATTGTTTCCAAACGCGTAACCCGAATCAATAAATTTTAACCTACGCGTGTGGTCAAATGATTAAACGTAGTTTTAAATAAAGATTTGAAAGTTCGGATAAAAATTTATTAATAAATTATGATAAGGGTTATTTTTTCTACGCGCGGCCGAAGCCTTACAACGTAGAAAGGTATTTTGCGCAAAAATCCTGTGGCGTAGCCCGAGTCTTGCACCCCCACCAATATTGAACAATAAAATTTATTAATTATATATATTTTTACCCAAAAGCAACAACGATATTGTCAAAATATACTTAAAATGGAAAATATTGATTTTCTGAAAGTCATGAGGCCCACGGGTCTCAAAGTAATTTCCACATTCAAGTCACTTGAAAGACATGCAGTTAAACAGAAAAAGACAATATGTATTAAACAACACATCGAAATATGTAATTTCGGTGTCTGAATTGGTATATGAGAAACAATCGTACCATCGTAATAGTCCTGGCTAGCTATATTGTGAAATAATCGGATGACATAAGGACACTAAAAAAATTTAAAATATGTTCACTAAAATTTTATCAATCTAAAAATAAAGAAATGTGAAATTTAAATATTTTTAAGATAAGGTCTTAATTATTTTTAAAAGGCAAAGGTTAATACAACTTTTATATTTATGATATCAAATCTCCTCTACCAAAAATTTCATTTGGCTAACACCGCATTTTTCACAATAGAGAAATTGTCAAAAATCTGCTTTTTAATCAAAAAGTTGCTTAATGAAACTACATTCTTTTTTGTATCATGGTTCATGGTGAAGTAAATATAAGGTGATGTCACTTACATAACCTCACTTTTTCTGCATGCCAATTACGGCCATGCATTTGAGGGTAGTAGAAAAAGGGTGAAAAGATTAGGATTAATTTTACGCTTTTTGGGTACTATTTCCAATACTGATTTTTAATATAGCTGTACATATACATACAGCAGTGGACTCCACACCAGTAAAGCTTGCGTCCATAAAATATATATGCTGTAAACCAGTATAATTAGAGTTTCATTTTTTCGCTCAAAAGAAATTCTTATTACTTAATTTTTATTTTTTCGATCAAATTTAATGATTATAATCATTATTAAGTTTATTCTTCTACCTTAAAATTATTATTTATAAAACTTAAAAGGCCTCACAGTCGTACCACACACATTTGATGTTGAATATGAATATATACATATGTGAGTTTTACAATCAGTTTGTCGTAAATTTTAAATAGTTTTATTTCATGGTAAGTTTATATGCTTTCAGTTATTGATTTTTTTCTCATATTCATAAGAGTTATGTCTCAATATGAATCCCGGGATAGATCCCGAATCCCGAGATTACTTAAAAAATATCCGCTTATTTTGGCATCCCTAATGTGTATATATGATCAAAACTCGAAATACATAGATGTTTTATAAAAAGTAAAGATAAAAAATAACCAACTTGGAGTTAGCTTTTTTGCGGGATTTTTATAAAATATATAACTTGTAGTTAGCTACAAAAAGCTAACTAGAAACTAGTTGAAAAGTAATTCAGGAGTAATGCAGACGTAATCGGGAGATTGCTTTCTTAAAACAACAAATTTTACTTTGAATACACTTTCTTTCTGCACTTCACAAATACTTTTTCGAATTGCCGACAAATAAAAGGAAGATCGAAATTTTATATTATATATTATATTATCATTTTGAAGTTATGTCTGACGCAGTTCGAATATGGGACCACCTACAGCAGAATATGTAAGCAAATATGAAATGTAATAAAATAAATTAAATAAACGATAAAGTAAAAAAAAGCAAAAATATATTTTGTTTATCTTATTGATAGGGTGGTTTGTTACAAGTTAGTTGACATCAAATGCAGAGGTAACCGCCCTTGGCTACATCTAATTCAGACTTTTTTGACTTTTTCGCGGCCATCGCCATAGAAATATAGAAGATAGCTTTCTTCAAAGAAAATATTCAGATAATAGTGACATTTAGTTTCTCTCTAATCAACTTCAAGTTAAATTGTAGTTAGATATATTTCCCGCAGTGTAGCATTAACCCACTGAGAAATGTTAACTATTAGTCTCATTTGCACTTTAAAATATGTATTTCTCATTATAAAATGTTTTGTCAAAACTAGCAAAATTTTTACTTTAGAGCTTTGACTGCAGCAGAAAGGCAGCAAAAAACAAAAGTGTAAGCAGCTACACAAGTTTTGAGGTCAAGATCAACTTGGTAGCATGTTTTTTGATGCAGTCATAGACAGTTGGCTACTTCCAATTCGACATTGGTCAAATGCGACTAATGTATACAATTTTATACCACATACATATGTACATAGTTATGTATATATAATAGGGTGGTCCAAAACTACATACATATGTACATGTGAAAAAGTAAAGTCGGAATTTTTATGCTCTCACCCCCTAGAATTGTTCTATATCGAAAATATTGACCCTTTTTTTTTTAAAAAAAAAAAAAATATATTTAGAGGTCGTTCAAAGCGCTCAAAGTTTTCCATATATTTTATATGGGGAAAAAACAACTTTGCTTAGAAATGGTATAGAAGTCCTGAAAATAAATATTTTTCGATCGGAAAACTCTATTTCTCTTCAGGAGATTTCAAATAATAATACCCAATTGTTCATTTAACCACTTCTTTCTAGTAATTATATCTTATAGGTCCGCCAAAAATCCCATAAAGAATCGTATACATTAAAAAATGCTTAAATAAACAATTGGGTATTTTTATTGGAAGTCTCTTGAAGAAAACCAGAGTTTTTCGATCGAAAAATATTGATTATCAAGAATTCTGTACCATTTCTGGTTTTTCCCATATAAAATACATGAAAAACATTGAGCGCATGGGCGACCTATAAATATCTTTTGATTTCAAAATAAAAAATAAGGGTAAATTTTTTTCGCTTTAGAACAATCCTAGTGGGTGAGAGCTTTAAAATTCCGACTTTGCTATTTTTTTTTGACCACCCCAATGTTTTCACATACAAACGTTTCAGTACAGTTTATTAGAGCTTAGTAGTAGCGGTTTCGTTTGTTCATTTGACAAACCAGATTGACTGACTGCTGGTAGAAAGTACGAAGTGATATGCTGATAACACAGTTCGGCAAATTCAGCTTTTTAAATAAAAGTACGTGCATATATCAATAGGAAGAAAAGTATTAAGACAATTTTTAACAATCTTCTCTTGAAATTCGCATCCTTCTATATGCTGGAAAATTTTCCTTTTGTTTATGATGCAGAAATATTTAATTTAATCATAAATCTCTTTGCTATAAACTCTTCTTCTTAATATGTTGGTTAAAACCTTCAAACGCAGATGCATATGTGCGCACATGGGTACGAGCTTGCTATTTTACTAAATACATACATACCTACATATGTCGAAAGAAACGAAATGAGATTTGCTCATTATCTCCTTAAATTAACTAGTAGTTATAAAAAGCGATTGTTAAAATATTTTGGATTAATTGGCAAACGAAAATGTATGTATGTCCGCATACTTTACTATTTCTACACCGATTTATCTGTTGGAGAGTATAGGTAAGCTTATTGTTGTATATTTCACAGTACATATTAAGGGGTCAAGGTCATTTATGGCCTTATGTTGATTCGGCCTTATTAAGCACTTATGCATATCATATTGTATACTGTAAGTTCACTTAAAGTTGCGAGAAATGTATTTACCTGACATTTATGTTCAATGGAAGCGTAGAAGCCATCATGCAGACCATCACATTTGAAGTGAATGTCGTCCTCAGGCGGTACAGTTGAGAAAAATGGGTAGCTCGAAAGGTTATAACTGTAGATATCCGATAAGCACCGATATGTGTAAATTTATGAACAAATATTTTTTTTAATGGTAAAGATATTTAAAACTTACCCTCTCAGCTCGCGTGGAAGGTTTGGATCCCAGATGTAGTCGATTTGTGGGATGCCAGTCAACTTGGGATTTTTCGTTGTGCCCGATGAGTTATCCGACTGAAATTGGAGGTAAATGTACAACAACTTTTAATAGACTTAATAAACATAAGTGCCGGTCACTAACCGATTAAACAAACAACAAGTAAAATTTTGAAAGATTGTTTGATCAACAATTGCCACTTGCTGTTAACAAAAGACTTAAGACACAAACTCGGAATAATAATGCATTTGTAGGCATGTTCACGTCATGCGTATTATTGCAAAATCAGACAAATGTTGGTTATATAATTACACACAAAAATAAACGATTTGAGTTTTTCGTTCTGTCAAATGCAAAATAATCTGCAAATTAGCATTTAAACCTGTTTTGGGTTTTATTCAAAACTGCTATTGCTTTAATACATATATAAATATGTATCTACATTAGGGTGATTTTTTTGCGACTATTTATTTTTTCCCTCCTACCTCGTAATTTTGTGGAAAACACCTAAAAACACTCCCTGAAAATTTGAACCCTTAATGTTAGCATTGAGTAATCGCCCAAGGCGTGCAAAGATTTCCCATATAAAATACACGTAAATTTTGATTTTTTTTCTTCAGAACTCTATAGCTCAGAGGAATTTTATGGTATAATCATGGCCAATGATTCTTCAAAATTGAACGTTCTACAAAAGTCTCCATAGCGGCGTAACTAAAACTCCTACCAGCGAGTTTATACGGGTCACTAAACCCAATATTTTCATGAAATTCCCGTTTGTTTGCCCCTATCTCGTAAATAACAAGAAGTACAGAGAAATTGCGAATCACAAACTTTTAGGTCATTCAATTTCCTACAAAAAAGTACTAGAACACCAAATCGCTAATATCGATACTTTTTGAGGTAAACCTACAGTATAGGCCAATACAATAGCACCCCCATTTCAAAGTGATATTGTTTGCCACTCATGTTTATTTATTTATTTTTAAGAATTTTCAATTAAAATACAGTTCATTCTCTCACAAAACTCACATAAACTCAAGTTTAAAACTTTTGTAAAGACCGCAAAAAAGTGCAACAAATTTTCACCCAAATTTAAAACTTTTTTCTCAGAAGCGGTAGAATTTTTTTGAATACACAGTTTTATAGCCCATTCAATTTTAGTCTAATAATGTGCAAGTTTCAAGTGGCTAAAAATAATCGTTGATTTTTTAGAATTTTTTTCGCCGAGGATGTTGCGGGTTTCTGCCATATAAAAATAAATTGTGTTTAGTCGTTATATGGAAGCAAATGAGACGAAAAAAATTCTAAAAAAACAACGGTAATCTTTAGCGACTTGAAACTTCCACATTATTGGACAAAATTGAATGCGCTATAAAACTGTGTACTCAAAAAAATTCTAGAGCTTCTGAGAAAAAAGTTTGAAATTTAAGGTAAAGTTTGTTGCACTTTTTTGCGGTCTTTTAAAAAGTTTAAAACATTGGTTTATATGGGTTTTGTTAGAGAATGAACTGTATTTTAATTGAAAATTCTTACAAACAAATAATTAAACATAAGTGGCAAACAATATCGCTTTGAAAGGGGGGTGCTATAGATATGTCCAATACTGTATATCGAAAGAAAAAACTATTCTAAGTCAAAATTTTATTTACATGCAAAATTTTGTGAAAACTAGGGGATCCGGTAGATATCCGGAATCCGGCTTAATCGGCCTTTTCCTGTTATCCGACTTCAATTATAAAAGATTATATTTCCAGATTTCGATTATAGAAGATTCTATTTAACAATCCAGTTCGGATTTTTTTACATTTTTATAATAAAATTTAATACTATCTAAATATTTAAATATATATTTTTCATTTCTATTTTCAACATAAATGCTAGCCGATGCACTGAACACTCTTTTTGAGTTCACTTTGGAAGGTGGTTCGCGGAGATAATTCACTGCCAAAGTAAACAAATTTGGAAATTCTTTGCGACTATAATAATAATAGAATAGGTGCTTACACATTTGTTAATGCTTGGCCGGGCTTCTCCTCTGATTTGTGGCGTGCGCATTGATGTTGTCAAATAAGGGGAGGGACCTAAAATTTTACGCCGGCTCCAAACGGCGATTGTATTTTTATGAGAAGCTGTTTTCATGGCAAAATACACTCGGAGGTTTTCCATTGCCTGCCTATGGGCGACCGTTATTAGGAAAACACTTTTTCGTTTTTTTTTTTATGTTGGGTTGAACCGGGCTTGAACCCGGGCCTGCGGAATGTTGGCGCGCACTACTAACCCCTTCACCACAGCGGCCATCTGACGAAGTCCAAAGGTTCATAAGGCAACCTCTGGAGCAGTCAACATATCGACAGGCCCTGAGCGGCATTCACAGGGAGTCAGTCTCAAGCTACGTAGACTCCAGACCTGTGAACTCCATTCTGGGCACACAACCACCTGAAGTAGACGAGACGGAGCTTCGTCTGCCTCGGGAGACTCGGACCGCAATAGTCCAATATCGCTAGTAGTTCTGATCCATTTAGCTAGTGAAAAATTTCCGCATCAATAATGACGCATTTTCAAGCGTTTTAATAATTATGGAGGAAGAGCTTGGGCGAAGTGTAAAATTAGCATCGGTACCAACGGTATCAAAGCTACCAACATGCTGTTGGGGAAAGATTTTGATGTGGGGTAGGCACAATCCACGTTCTCAAAAACATTGACAAAAACTTTAAAAATTTTTCAAAGCGTCGAACAATGTCTGGCCTTTCGCTCATGCATTCCACCATTTTTTCGCATTGCGTCCGATTTGTTGTGATCTTCGGCCTGATATGTTGGAAATATTTAATAATAATCAATATTTTTGCGTTTACGCACTTTTTTTTTTTAATATTTTAAAACAATTTCTTTCGCTCCGACACTAGTTGCTCTACGTACGAAATTTCCGACAAATACATAAAAATGACAGCTACGTCGGATTCAGGCATACCAATATTAAGAATTTCGAAGATGGCCTCTGAATTTCGAAATTACGATACGACAACGCGGATTTCAGCATACCAATTTCACGATTCGTAGCAAAACCGAATCTACGACAGATTACAGCATAAGGGTGTATATTAAGTAGGTTAGTACAAAAAAAAATTTGGGTTGGGCCACTTCTGCTCTCATGGCCTCATATATACATATATGTATTTCGAAATATAACATAAAAAACTATAAATTCGGCACATACATATATATCGTCGTTTAAAGTACAAAACCGCGGATCAAAAAAATGTAAAACCTCGTATGTGAGGTTGCCAAAATTTTATAGGAGACAGTAATGGCGTTTTCTTTTCTAAAAAAAAATTGTGCCTTTTCATTGCCCTCTCCTTGGTATTTGTGCGTACAGGGCACTGAGAAGGCAACATTTTTCGGTAGATAAGAAAACGCCATAAAACTTGTCTTATTTAAAAACAGTTCTCTCTTTTATCCCCAATTATCTCTTCTTCTTATATCTAAGTATCGATATTTTAGTATGAATGAATAAGGGCTTGATGCCAGAAGCGATCGGTGAGCAAATATCGTTTTTAGCACAAATGTCAGTTACGAGGTTTTGCAGAACCACGATACGCGGTTTTGTACTTTAAACGACGATATGTATTTAGTATACTTGCATTGGATTTCTTAAGAAGAAATAATCAACTTTAAAAGAAAAATTTAAAAACTTTCGCCGCATGAGTAAGGAACTGGGCGTCGAAATCCATATTTGTGCACGAACTTAAAAGGAGAATGAAGAAATCGGAACACGATACGAAAATTTAGGAAAAGCAAATCAGAAATATAAAAGCAAAACATATACCAAGCTGCACTTAAAAATTCTCTGTACAAATGCAACTAAGTACATATGTACAAACTTCTGTGCCATTGTATGTTTTATATCGTCACCTGAAATGCAAAATAACGTAGCATTGTCGTCACTGATATGCAAAAAGCCATAACTTATAAAAATTTAAAATTCACTTTTTGATTGCTATGATGGATTTCATCAAATTACAACTCCCCACAACGTTTTATGAAAAAAAAAAAAATATTCACGACTTTTTTCATTTCAGTGGCGATGTTGTTACGTCATTTTGCATTTCAGGTGACGATATGTGGAATAAAATATTTCCGTAAAGTAGGAAAGTGTTTGCTCATACATATGTACATATTGTCAACGAACTGCTCGCACAATGTTAGGTACTAATTTATCTATGTATGTAATTATTAGACTGCGACTTCGGGCGTTAAAACATGAGCACTCGAGTAACCAAGATCGTTGGATTTATTTAGTCCGATCCGATGATCTCTAGTTGTGCCCAGCGTATGTACTTAGGACGTTAATTTTTTCGATTCCGGGATTTTCGGGACATCGTTCATACAATCCGGGGATCCAGGGATTAGTCCCGGAATTTATATATTCATTATTTTCCAACAACTTAACACGAAAAAATTGCATCAATATAGTCTGAGAAGCTGTCCTACCATATATTTATTATACGATGGGGGCGATCGATTTCGGTTAAAATATATTACCTCAAGCGAGAAATTTGAAAACAAATTACAATTTTTTTTTTAATCTTCAATCATAATTCCTTTTTTAGGCTTGCACAAGATTATTTATAGAACAAGAAAGCATGTAAATCTCTTCAATTAAAAATTACAACAATGGGTATGCAAATACTATGAATTTATGGACCTTGTCATAACGTTACGGCATTTACATTTTGACAAGATTTGATCATTTGTCCTAATATGTTTTAATTTTCAATACTTGTTTATAAAAATATAGTATAATCTTTAATAAAAACCATATAAATCCAAGCTTGAATCGCTGTGCAACGTTTTAAAAAATCAAAAATTTTTTTCGATTTGAAAACAAATTACAATTTTTTTTTTAATCTTCAATCATAATTCCTTTTTTAGGCTTGCACAAGATTATTTATAGAACAAGAAAGCATGTAAATCTCTTCAATTAAAAATTACAACAATGGGTATGCAAATACTATGAATTTATGGACCTTGTCATAACGTTACGGCATTTACATTTTGACAAGATTTGATCATTTGTCCT